CAGAGACTGACGACTCTGTTAAACGGAAAAGGATGAAATAACCATATGTGTTTTCATCTGAGCCAGAGTTCGAACCCAAGTCCCTAGAGGGGGGACACTACTGTGCTTGCCCACAATGGCATCTGGCGCCATGTGGGTACCTGGCTCAATTGGGAAATCCATCTGTGTCCCATTTGTTCCATCATTCCCCTTGCCCATTCTGCTGTGTGTGTCTTGCAGAAAGTGAAGTACCTGACCTCCCGGATTCTGATGAACCCTATGACTCTCGGTTTATAAAGTGGATGATTATAAACAAGGTAAATGCCTCTGTCTCTCTCCAGGGTGCTTGTTTTCTGGGAAAGTTTCCCCGTTCTTTGCTCCAGTTCGATTTGAGGGAGCTGGATTTTGTGATGGTGGAGCACTGACTTGAAAACATTGGACCTGTTACTTGAGGCTTGCTACCATTGCCTCACCCAGTCGAGTACACGGCCTTGTAATTCAAATCCTCTTCCTTCTAGTGTCCTGTCTACCAAAGGAGCGCATTAATGGCATCTCCTAGATTAGCCATCTGGTTATATCCCCACCCTCCACCATGTTCCTTCAGAAGTCAGGGTATGATGCCCCCTCTGCGATGTCCTTCTGAACCAAATGATCATCTTGTTACACCCTGATGTTCATCTTGCCGATAGCCTCTGGTGTCAGGATGCTCACAGAGCCAAAGCCACCAATGTGTCCGCCAAGGACACGGGGTGGGGGTGATAATGCCTGGTTTGCTGGGCGGCAAGATGGCTTCTGTTGAGATGTTTGACTCTGATCTTGAAAAGCAAGCAGCTGGAAGTGTGGCTCATGTCTGCTCAGTAACCTGGGGTGTCCAGGAGCAATGAACTTACTGCAGGTGTGGGTCTTTCTCTGATCAGAGAGTGGCACAAGGCAATGTGCAGAGGCTAAGAAAAAATTAACCTTGTGTGCACCCTCTTTTCCCTCCCTCCCCTTCACAGGGTTTAGTTTCCATTCCAGTCTCCGCTTTCTACAGCACTCCACACAAGAGGAATTTTGACCATTTCATCCGCTTCTGCTTTGCGAAGGTGAGGCCTCTGGGGCAACAAGAAAGAAGGGGAGTGAGTTCAGGCAGTGATCAGGGCTACTGCTGTAAATGAGGCATATGCCAGAAGAGATAAGTGGCTAAGACTTGGGGCTTAAAACACCAAACAATAACCTGGAACCACAGGTTCAAAGTCTGGCAGGACTGACTCAATTTTTCAGCCCTCAGAGGTAGATAAAATGAAGTCAGTGTGTGTGTCTTTCACGTGAGATCCTAATCCAAGTTCTGTTCATTCATGGCCACTAAAGATCCCAGTGCACTTTCAATAAAAGTAGAGCTTCACCCCAGTTCATCTGGCCAAAATTTCCTCTCATCCTCTATTACTATTTAGAGATTGATGTGCACTGGGTGCCTGCTGTCCTCTGTCCCAACAGTGGCTGCATTTCAGTGGTGCTGTATATACAGCATTTGTGATCCTTCAGGATGAAACAGGGGATATAAATCTTACATAACTGTATTTTATTATTCAGTGTGGAGAGGGCGGGCGTGGGCATGGAGCCTGGTAGGGCTGACAGTCTGGTGTTTGCTCAGGAGGAATCTACGCTGAAGGCAGCAGAAGACATACTGCAACAATGGAGTCTGGAGAAAACTGGCCAGTGAATGCTTTGGACAGAATACCAGGCAGGCTCGCCCGTGCTCTGCTGCTATGTCCTGCTCTCCTTGATGCAGCCATTGTGGTTACAGATTCTTTGCTTACTGTTTTTGTTTTAACTCTTTATTGCATCATTGGATTTCAGTCACCTTCTCTATCATGCACATGGGCAAGAGGTTTGTCAGCCCTCAGATCTGGTTCAAAGTTTCTCATTGCTGTCCACTAGCAAAAAGGTTTTACTGTTCTTTGGGACTTATGAGCCAGTATATACACTGGTAAAACTTTATTTTCTCTTTTTTACTTTCAAAAGCTTCACTAACTTATTCATACTGGGTTCCCTGGAGCTAAAACACAAGGCAAAAATGGTTGCTGGGCTCCCTGTCCTGCTCCATAACATTCTATATGTTCTAAATAGGCTGGTCCCCATGATCCTAAGTCATTAGAGTCCAATGACAGGTGAACTTTTACTTTATCAGAACTTTTCCCACTGGTTCCTTCTGTTCCATCACCTTGCAGAATGGACTACCAGCTCATCCAGAAAACAGACAGTCCAAGTAGTTAATCTAGTCTAGTCTACCTTTAAACTCTCCCCTCCATCCCCCTAATAGAACCAGGCCTGGCTGAGCTCTAATTGTCACCTCCTAGCAGAGTATCACCCAAATTATAAAGCAGGTACTTCGGGCCTTCAAGAACGATGCACAGACTCAACTAGGAAAGGAAGAATTTAAAGTTGCAGGGCCTGTCCTCCTTTCCCTGTATACTTTTGGTGTTTTAGAGAAATTCAGTAGTGAGGGGAAGCTAGCAGAGATTTTGTGTATTTGTGTCTTTCAGATGCTCCCTTGTGGGAACAACTGGATTATTCTTGACAAAGTTTAGATAATTAACTCTGATGTAGCATCTTAATTTAAACCTAGGTAAGAATGTGAATCTAAATTAATGTGAACTAGCTTCTTAAATTGTTCCAAAGTAGAGCATAACTGATCTTGTAATAAGGATTTAGAGTACAAGTTTAAATTACTAAAATGTACATAAAGGAATAAATATTGGTCTACTTAATACCTCTGTTTTAACATTCTTCATCTGCTGTGGCCATCAATAATATTTTACCTTAAATGTGGAGGGCTGCATTGACACTGCTGAATTAGAGACAATGACCAAATTCTACTCTTACACCATTGCAATCCTTCTGAAGTTACGGAGGTTGCACAGGAGACACTGAGGCTATGTCTACACTACGCACCATTTAGCGACACAGCTGTGCCACTAAAAGGTGCATAGTGTAGCTGCTCTTTGTCGGCTCTCCCGCCTACAAAAACTTCTACCCACAATGAGCGGTGGTAGCTTTGTCAGCAGGAGAGCTTCCCTTTCCCCCCTTCCCCCCCCCAAGTGCTGTTCACATTGGCACTTTTTGTCAGTAAAACTTTCGTTAGACGGGTGTGTGGGTTTTGTTTTTTCCGTACCCCTGAATGACAAAAGTTTTACGGATGAAAGTCCAGTGTGGACAAAGCCTGAGAAGAGAATTCGCCTTGCGGTCTAGGCCAAGGAAGGATGACCAGCTAGCTTAAAACACTTATCGCTTTCCTGTATGTTTCAAAGGTGTGAAGATTAAAGGAATTGTCAGATTATTACAATAAAAAAGAATGGGATTTAAAATTGCATTTTCTTTTGCCATTACTGCTGCTTACTTTTTGCATTGCACTGCTGTGTACGCATGGCCCTGTCCTAGAGCCTGGCCCCTGAGTCCATGGCCCTACAGTCACTCACGAGCCCCTGGACTTTGGTACCGCTAGTGCTATGCGGGCCTGTTGAGTTAGTCGGGACATTACTTGGCTGAGTTCCCCTCCCCCTCCAGTGTATCAGCAGCGCCTGGCCATGCGCGGTCTCCCATCCACGGGTGGAGCGAAACAGACCCCGCTTAGCTTGAGGGACCTGACGGAGGGGCGAGGGCGGGGCCGGCACGTGGCCGCTTCTCCCGGCCGCGCTGTTTTTGACCCGCCTCCGCTGTCACGTGACTCATCCGCGTGGGCCGTTGGGAAGGGGTCTGAGAGGCGGGGCCTTGGGCGCTCCTTCGTCCAATAATAATCCGCGGAGAGCGGAAGTGGCGGTGGAAAATGGCGGGTGGCGCTAAGCGGCCGCGGGGCCTGCAGGTGGGTCATGGCAGTGAGGGGTGGGGTGTGCCTCAGCGCGGGTCCGCTCTCCGGGGGCCCCTGAGGCCTGCCCGCTGCGCGCTCTCCCGCGTCCTCTGCAGCCCCA